ACGTTATTTAAAAACATGCCTCAGGAGGAAGGAAACAGACGAACCCCTGGGAGGATGGGTGTAAGTTGTCATGTGTATGTGTCCGTGTGTGTGTCACAGTGAGTGTATAGCAAACACAGACAGTGTTTCAGTTTCTCCCTTAAGTATACCTGATACCATAAGCCAAAGGTTAAAGTGAAAGCCTAAATCATGCCATTTTACAACAACAGCTGTGCCAGCTTAGAACAAAGCATTCAGTCCTCTGCTACCGAGATCCCTGTTGTAATCTGCCCATGCACAAGTCTGGACAGAAAATGTACAGTGCATGTCCCTATTTAAATAAATCTTACAGACAAGGAGCAGAGTACAGACACACACAGAGACATACAGAGAGAGAGAGGGAGAGAGACAGAGAGATAGAGAGAGAGGGGGGAGAGAGAGAGATACAGAGAGAGAGAGAGAGAGAGAGAGAGAGAGAGAGAAAGAATAAAACCTCACTGGTGAAAGAAAAACAGGAAAAGGAAAATTCCAGTGATGTGTGCTGGAAGTGGCTGTGCGAGTACAAAGCTAAGGGTTCAGCCATCACCAGACATGTTGAAATACATTGAAAATAACAAACTATGGGAAATCACATATTTCCTTTCAATGGAGAGGCAAAAGACCCCTTATCTAAACTGTGAAGAAAAAAAACAAAGTGACTCCTCATTACACTTCATTCGGAATCATATCCCAAACAAATCATTATTCCTCTCTGGTGACAACAATTGCATAAGGATAAAAGCCTAGACAGATCCCTCACACATTATGAGATGTCAGGTCAAATCCAGACACAGTAATGACACAAACGCGTAAACAAATAGAGCAGCACAGATGCAACAGTATCTGGGTGATGCAAGTCTGAATGAGGTCACTGCCAGAAGCAGGACTGGCCCACATAGCGAAAAGCTGCCAGGATGCAGAGATCAGTCTATCTGCATTCTTGTGATACTGAGAGATCTGAATTTGCTGCAACCTATAAACTACACAGATTGGTAAAGACAATATCCATATTTTCTTTTTTCCACATTTTCCATATTTGATTAGTCCGTTATGACTAAATGTGCAGTTATTAGTCTGTCAATAACTAAATATTCCACATTACACACAATGTTTGATTAAACAAATACAAAAATAAAATACACAACTGGTTTATATTTTGTTCTATGCTTTTCCAAAAATAAACATTATTAAAGGCACAGCAACGCACATTCTGCATTGCCCTCGAAACTCCTGCTTTTGGTGTCAGCGCTTTCAAAAAAATCATCTGTCAAAACAAAAACACAGTCAACACGAAAACACAGAATTTTTCAAAAATATTCGTACATGTTCGAATGAGCATGTCTGAGTGCAATAGGGCACAAGCAACCCTGGTAACCCATAAGTGCAATTTCAATATGCAGTTCAGACCAAAATGCAGCTCATCCTTTCAGCCAAAATTGTATTTTCAATCTCAAACTGAAACAGACGTAGCTGAAACACAATGACACGCTTTAACTATAGTCTTCGAATATGTGGTTAAAAGTGGTGTTTCTATATTTTTTGGGTTGTGCACAATCCAGTACTGTAGTTTCTGTCATCTGTATTTTCCCACTTTCAATCAAAAGATGCAAATAGGGTGCACATTATTTACTATCAATGTTAGTGATGATGTTAATTAGGCTATCGATAATGTTGCAGACACGTCAGATGAATAAAAGATCTTAATTACAGCTTGTTTAACGCCTGTCGTGCTCAAAAAATCCAACCCCTAGAATTTTTAAGCAACTTCAGAAGACAAAACAAACCAGTGAGAGCTTGGATGCCACCATAGCATAGGCTTCCACAAAGATGGGAAATGAGGGACTGAAACGCAGATCAGTAATATAGTCTGAAATTACCATTCACTACTACAAATGTTATTTTTCTTTTTTAATACTACTTCCAAACTGCCACAGCTTTAGTGGTTTGAGGCAAATCTGGCACCAGAAAGCAACAATACCAGGGAAATTTGTCTCTAAAGGGATGCATCCATTCTCAGCATTTCCTCACGCATCTCAGATGTTTCTCATACAATCCATCTGAATAAAACCCAGTGCTCCATATGTTTCTAAGACACCAGGGCTACCAATTCATCTGGGATGCCTGGGCTGGATGATCTACACCCACACACCCCCACCTATCACTGTCTGTCTACACGCAACGATGACGCTCGTCAGCCTGTGTCACCCCTTTGAGCTATTGAGCATGGAGAGTATTTCCAGGCTCTCCATCTCCACTTAAACACATGCAGTCGATGGCTGACCCTGATCTGATAAAAAAGCAGCTGATTCTAAAAGAAGAGACAGAACTTGAACCAAGGGCTCTCCTCCCACACCCATCAATTGCATAAGAGTAGGTCACACCGACGCAAATCAGAACAGCGGCAGTCAGAGACTACGCAGTACAGTTACATGGAAATACAGAGAGGTGTTCTAAGCAGTACAGACATGCCCACTGTCTCAGAGAAGCCCCAAATCTCAGAATCAAATGTCAAATAAAAGCAGCAAGCCAGCAAACACGCATACAAATGAACCTGGCATTAATTCAAATTAATTCATTTCTTTGCTTAAATAATTTACAAGATAGCAGGGGTGCCCAAACTTTCTGTGTTGGAGGCCAAAGTGTTTCATGCATATAAGTACTCCTCTGGAATCAGTTAAAATATCTGCCTGCTTTATTTCTAGCACAAAGTAAATTGCCTCCCATTCTGAAACTTACTATTATATATTATTTAATATAATGAACTGGGATTCATCTAGGTTAAGCACATGTAACATGGGTTAAAAAAGTGGGTTACCATCAGCACGACTTGATTTACAGTACAGATTGTTCTCTCAGGCTATCCAGAGATAAGAAAGACAGCAGATATATTGTTACTAGTAAATAAAGTGGCGAAATCCCATCATGTCACACCCACGGACAATGCCATTACAAAAACCAGAAAGGCTGACAGCATATCAACTTTGCAACTAGCCATGTTGGCTTGCTTATGAGCCTAGTTCACTCTTAGTGCCGCCAAACACAGCCATAACAATACCAATGTGGCATTAAACAGTCTACACAACGTAAGCATTTAACATTCTCTATATAGATGTAGATTTGTAAAAACTATCTTCCAATAATCTAGCTGAGAACCGTTTTCAAAAACAGAGACTGTGCAGTCAATACGATCTTTCCGTGAAAGACATCTAACTTTAAAAAAAATTATGCAACACAGATCAATGACAGTCGGTGAATAGTACACACTAGACACGTCCCTTTATTTGATACCACGTCCCATCAATTGGTTCCAGAACACTGAGGATTTGGAAGAGACCCAGCCAGAAGGGGCCACAGTAGCAAAACTGGCTTTGCTCACACCATGGTCTCTCCACAGCTCTCCACAGGAACATGCATTATGAATGGACTTTCATCCATAAAAGAGAGAGAAAAGAGTACCCTATGTGCTGTCTCCTTTCACATGTACAGCATTTTTTATATCAGCTTTCTTTATCACTATGGTTTGCAGTAGACCACAGGAGATAAACATGATCATTAGGATTAGGCACACTAAGCCATATCTACATTTTTCACATATTTTACTTTTTCCCTGAATTTAACCTACGTAAAAAGAATTATAAAACACTTGTAATTTGTGTTATATGATTATTTCTCTCTTTATAACTTAGAATTAACAACTTTTTTGTTACTATGTGTTTAAGACTGATTAAGACTAAATGACCCCTGATTGGCATAGCGTCAATGTGAATGGGTGGGGCTAAACTACAGTAGAGTGAATAAGTGGATATACATGAATGCGATGAATCTGGGAATTCATGAAATGGTTTTCATTAATTCATTACATTCAAAATTGACTGCAGTTTAATTTCCATATATTGACTGTGCTGAGTGGGGACTGCATGGTGTCTTTTAAAAATAGTCTTCAGATACTACATCAAACTTTTTTAAATTTTGAAAAAAAAGCAAGGAAAAATTTTTTGCCATGACATGGTCCCTTTAAGTGCACAGACATCTTCATATCAACTATACTTTGATGAATTATACTTTGATGAATCACCAAGCACCAAGATCACCAAAATCTAAAAGCTGCATCCATAAGAGATTTGTGGAACAGACTAACACCACACACACAGCCATATGTACCCTGTGACAAAGTCTGAGCTAACTCAGTTTAAGCGGTGGACTGTACTAACAGTTGGGTCTAGGGCAAACCTGCACAGAACCCACTCACGCTCATGCTCCACCCCAACTGACCGTTCACTCCTCCTACAGCCACATGCTGAGCCACGGGCTGTCAATGGGTCCAGAAATGGAAAACAAACTAAAAATCAATGGCCTGGAAAAACAAGTCCCAGCTAATTACAGGGACAGGGGTTAGGTTATTGGAAGGGTACACTGTTACCCGCTTGTGGCCCCAAAAATGATCTATAGAGCCCTATCAGAAAAAATGGGTAAAGAGAGAGGGTGTCTGATCACAGATTTTCAGCACATGAATCTCTGAATGGAGAGCATCAGACAAGACAAGAAGCTGGGCTTCTTGAAGCTCACAGAGCAAGAGGCTTGTCTCCTGCCCCTCCTCCCTGCTTCACTGGCCCATCTAAGTGCTCTGCTTTCTGCTCGGGCATATGCGGTGTTATTACTCCTGCCTCTCATTCGAATTTCTCCGCTCTTGCTATTATTAGCTGCCTCTGATATCCAAGTCCACAGAGGCTTCCTTCGTCAGCCTCCACTTACCCAACATGCACTGCTCTGCAATGAAGTGCTTTGGGTTTTCGCTAGCTAGAGCTAAAGAAGCTCAGTCTGTGAAGTGTCAGAACTGAAAGAGATTTCAAAATTGAATGTCCTTCAAATTTTCTGATTAAAAACAAAAAAGCATATATATATTTTTCTCAAAAGATAAAAGAGGAAAGATGAGAGGGTGGAGAGACGATTTTTATTGCTTAGCAGCAATCCAAAATATTTACCTTTTGGAGACTTGTAGGATTAAGCTGCGTCTTATCAATAATTTTTATGGCCACCTGCAGGAAAGAGTGAAGACAAATTGTATTTTACTGACCCTGGCAACTTGAGACTGGCAAGAAGCCAAAGATGTACTGGGAGAAAAAAACAAAATGCCTTTAGAATTACTGTGTATTACTAGAATAATATCAACATTTCTAACATGATTATTCTCAAAGGCAAATACACAATGTCTCATTTTATCTTTAAGTTTCATTCAATTCTACGATAATTTCTTTTCAAAAGTGAAAATAGATACAGAGAGAGTGCGAGTGTAAGACACAAAGACACAGACACATCGAGCAAGTAACAAAGGGAGAAAAGGGGAGAGAGGCAAAGAGTGTGAGAAAGAAAGAGTGAGATTGTGAGCGAGAGAGAGAGAGCAAGTGAGCAAGTGAGAAAGAGAGCGAGAGAGCAAGAGAAAGAGAGATAGAGGGAGGAAGCAGTGAAAAATGTCTGAAAAAAAAAATAAAAATGAGGAGCACGAAACATCAGACCATGGCAATCCAAAATAAAATCCCAGAGGCTTAGGAAACTTTATAACCCACCTCTCGCCCTGTGAGAATATGTCGCGCCAGTTTGACCTTGGCGAAGTTGCCCTTGCCGATGGTTTTGAGCAGCCGGTAGTTGCCGATATGTGGCTGCTCGTCGGCACAGGAGGCGATGGAGTTCCGGCAGCGTGCCCCAGAGCGGCTGGGCCGCGTGGCAGCCTCATTCCGCCCATCACTGTGTGAGGTGTGCTGCAGACAGAACACACCAGAGGTTATCAAAAGAAAAGAAAAAAAAAAAAAAAGTATTCCAATGGTGACACACACAGGTCACTGTACACAGGCAATCTTTTTAGACAATATAGTGAAGTAATGCGACTAGAAGCACAAAGCTGTTGTCTTAAACTGCGTAGTATGTCTAGACAGTAAAGAGATATTCACACAGGCAATGGTATAACCAGAAAACAAGACTAGAAGACCTTTCCCAGTCAGGGTCCCTAGCAAGCGAGTATCTAATTTTAGGATTTACTAATAATACAATACACTTAACGAAAACAAGCACAGGGGTGTAAAAACACATCACATAGTAATGATGCATTGATCTAAGGCTCGTAGTTTAACTGTATTAATTGTAAAATGCTGGAATTGATTGCAATGGACTGGGGTGGGCAACACTGCAAAAATATATTACAATACTTCGATACATTTTTAGGATACATAACATGCATCAAGATTTTTTGTTTTTCCTGGAATAAACTGGAACAGACAAAAAAGAACCTGTAATAATAATAAGAATAATAAATCTACAACTACAATAATATTTATTCAATTTAGAAACTGCACTAAATCCAATTAAACAGGCTTAATTAAGTACTGACAATATCCACAAAGTGTGCTGTGACATAATTTATCATGATACTGATAACATACTGTTACATTATCCACCTATACAAACTAAAATATGCACTCGATTCAAATTAAAGGCTATTTCAAAATGTTAAATTTCCACCCGAATTTAAAGACTAGCTCATTTCCGTTTTAACTTGTAATAACATCATCAGACCAATGCAACACTTTCTAAAACAATATATTTTTGTGATGAATGCATGTATAAACATTGTATGAATGTAGTCCTGCACTAACTGCTGTACAAAAATCTTTGTATTTGCATCCCATCCTTACCCTTACACTGTGTTACACTGAGTGTGGTCTGGCAGTGTCATGATTAGACTATCACTTGACAGTTAAGGAAGGGAAATGCATGTAAATAATGCTGGCTACAGAAAATGCCATGCTGTTTCCTGGATTTCTGTGTCCACTTCCTCTTTCTAATGAGAAATAGCATAGTGAAATGCTTGTTTACGAAGAACAGTCTTTGTAAAACAAGTTCAATGTATTGCAACCCAGTGAAAAGCCAATGCATTACTTCTGGCTGGCAAGGGTGAAAATCAGTATCATCCAAGCTCTCCAGTTTAAAGCTCCAATCAGAAATGGCTAAAATAATGACACAGTAGGCCCACGACTACAGTGCAGTTCCGAGTTTAATTTGTTTACTACAGTGGCTTGTAATGCTGCACAAAGATCTCTGCCGTGGCTCACAATCTGAGCTATAAATCACGGTATTTTTAATATAACAACATGTTTATTAGCGGTGCAATCATTCATGCCCTTAATTCATTTTTTAACGTTTACCTTCCCATAGTTAAATGTGTAACCAACATGCAAAACTATTCAGATGCAGACTGGGATTAAAGTTTTTAAAACTTTTTTGAAAGTGTAATTAGACATTTTAGTACAGTAATCCAGCATTGTCTGAACATTCTGCTCCTCTGTAATACAATAAATATGTCATCAAATATTAGCTTGAAATATCTAAACATCTGTCCAAAGCCGATATTTTTTTTAAAGCAAATATCTGCCGAAACTAATATGATTCTAATATCAGTGTGCATCCCTAGTTTAGTTAACCATAAATTACTCCTCCATTATTTAGATTTTTTCTTGCTCTTATTTTTTGTTATAGGAAGTGTCTAAATGAGCAAAAATAACAGTAAATACCCACTAATGGCAACCATAGCATAAGTCTATCTGGTAAGGAAGCCAAATCTACCAGGCAATTATTTCTCCAAAGATAATCAGTCAGTTTCATTTTTAACTCTAGATCTCAGCACTGCAGAGCCTATGAGAAATCAGTCCTGCTTTGGCCAGCATGAGAGGCTGGTTTCCCCAGACATGGATTAAGCCTAGTCTTTAACGAAACTACAATCCCTACAGTGGATCACCATGGGAAATCCTTTTTAGTTTAGACTAAGGCTTAATCTGGGTCTGTGAAACTGGCACCAAATGTTTAACAGCCTATAGGAAATGTTTATGCCTCTACATCTGTTTAGTTTGCAGAGACAAGATTAGCCCACACTCTGTAGACTCATCTGTGAGCCATTTCGTTACAAACACACTGCCAATCCTTCTGGAACAGAGGTGCTCGAATTAGCACATAAAGAGTTCAAACAGACAGCTGAGTAATATCTGATGAAGGAAACACAGAGACAGCAGATACGGTGAATAGGAAAAGACAAGCCGGCGATACCTCCAAAATGGTTGCAAAGATGTGGTATGAAAAACAAGATATTTAAATAATACCTGAGAAGAGGATCACTAACAAGATATATCGTGCATCCCTGTGAGCTGTGTTAGTCATAATATTCATGTCACGACAAGAGAAGTAGGCCTAATTCTGAGTCGTGTTACAAAAAGCGTATGCATTTGTGTCAGAGGCACAATAATTCATATTCTGTAATTTGCTTTTAATTCACATATTACTGGTAGCTGCTGGCCATATGGCTGCCTGGCTTTTCTCAACATCAGAATGGGAAGCAACCTCCACTGTCTCCAGGACTAGGGCAGAAAAGGGTAAACATAGCAGCAAGACAACCACTCTGAAGTTTTACACATCTTCTCTATGCAACATTTGATTCCTTCTAAAATTAATTAACATGTTTCTACCTTTATCAGTAGTCTACTATAAATACAGGTCAATGCTATCATGTCAGTTGCTGTTTTTTCCTCTTTCCTCAAACTTCCAATGCCTAAGACCAATATTCTCCAGCCTAGTACTCAAACTTTAATTCCTATGATCCATTGCCCTTTGCGGTAAACTCCACATAGCTGGAAAAGAATTCCCCACCAAATGTAATTATTGTGCATTTAACTCGAAAAAGAACTGTTATTAACTAGACCAGACTCTGCATGGCACTGATCTCTGACACAAGCATATTTCTGTGCGCTGTTCTAACCACTAACCTAGGTCACACGTTCTTACATAGTCTGGTAGGCTATTGATTACTCAAAATGCCCCAAGCCTAATCTGCACATCTCTGCTAGCTTACACAAAGCTCTTCTCTGACCTCTAACAAAACCCTGGAAAAAAGGCAACAAACACAAATGCTTTGTTGAAACCAGATGTCAGACTAACAGCCTCTAGTACTAATTTTGCCAAATCAATTTTAAAGCAGTATTTGTTTTTTATGGTATTGAAATAACATTAATACGTAAATGAGACATGACTACAGACCTGTAAACTGTCCACACACTGAACAGGCAGCTGAGCTTTACTGCGTATGTACTTCTCAGTAACCGAGAGGCCAGTCAACATGCACTAGTCTAAGAACATTCTGTGACTTTTTCTATCATCATTATTATTAACGGTACTCATGAGAACAGTCTCCCATGTTCATCTAGAAACACACGACAGATAGAAAGGACTGACTGAAAAGAGTCATTCTGGGCTCTTTAATATTCAGCAACTAAATTATAATCATAATCTAAATCATAAATCACAATGTCCAGCACTGCACATTGTAAACTTTATGAATGTAGACTGCTGAATGGTTTCGTCGACTGCTCAAGGATGCTCTGTAAATCGAACATGCTCATTCTAAATGTGATGTAGAATAGATGCGTCTGTATTAAGTCTAATCTTATCCTCCAAATGTAAGTACTTTTGAGGAGAATATTAGAGAATCCAAATGAGGAAAAAAGCAAAAAATACCAGCAGACAGCCATGTAGGTCAGAACCGAATGCCCGATCGTTGGATTAGACGACCTTCTACAGACTTTTCGGGCTCAGTCTCATGTCTAAGGCTGACATGACTGACAGCTTTGACTGAAACAAGACAATTACGTCTGTGTGGCATTATCATGATATGTATTTCTCTGTAAATCATCCAGACACTGCACTTGTTCCGACTCTTAACGTGTTGAAATTTTAAATGAGAAAAGTTTACACTTAACATCCTGTGTACTGCAAATTTCTATACGCTTCGGTCATCTATTTCATTCAGCCTCTAATTAAAACACCAGTAACTTACTATGGTGATGCGGTGTCTCTTGACCGAATGGGAGCCCTTCATCCTAGCATTGGCGGAGGGAATGGCAAGTGAACAGACAGCTACTCCGTTTTTGTGCTGGTAGTTCATTGATCCAGCAGCACTGGCTGGCTGGAGCTCACAGAAGCGTGAAACACATTTCGCATTTCGGGCATCTACTCCTGTCCGGGGGGGGGCTGGGGGGGGGCTGGGTGGGGGGTTATAGAGAGAGGGAGGAGGTGAGGTGGGGAGGGGAGGTGTGGAGGGAGCTACCAAAGGCTCTGGGTGCTCCTCACTCAGGAACAGCCCACGGAAAGTGGAGAAAGGGCGCCATCAGCCAGGTAGGTTTACTCATTTCTCCTCATCTCCATAGAGTGCTTCATCATTCAGCCCTACGCAATGCTGGCGTAGAAACCCACGAAATCGAGTTTCAATTAAGACGAGGGAACCCCATCTTTCGTTTCATCAGATGAATGACTGCCTGACGCTTAGTGTGAGAACAGAAACTCGTAATATAAACAAAGCAGTGGTTTGCTTGTCAGTAACTGCTGATAAACTTCATCAGCACAGTGTGTTTAGTCTGTTATGTCTACAAGTAGTTGGTTATTAGCTACACAACAATGAAAGTAAGAGGAAGCTGGAGATGGCTGAGCTGAGCTGAGCTGACAGTCACGTCGATCTAAATACATCTTTTGTATCGTATGCCAAGACTCCACGAGTGAATAATGGAAACGAGCATGCTGATGAAGTACTAAAATGGAAAAGTTGACCTTCTCATCAGCGTGAGTCTGGTCTTGTGCTCCTTGTTTAGAAGGCAACGCAGTTCAAATAAGAGCCGAGCTATAGCTACGACACCTAAAGCTCAGAATAAATGCTGGGAAAAGTTTGTCTGGACAGGTCCGCCGAGACAACGGCTAAGTTAACTTAGCCAAGATTAAGGTGAAGAGGTTTATACTTACATTTTCCGTGTCTCTCTCATTGACAGTAGGCAGTGGTGTTCTGGTTGACATTTTATCACGTCTCTATCCCCAAACTGCTTCCCCTCTGCTCTCCGTCCGAGTCCGTTTAATCGCAGCACCTTAGTCCTTAGTCCGAGGGGTGGAAAGCAGGTATCCGGCAGCTGATGATGAAGACCATGGATTCGGATCCACATCGACCTCAATTCGCAAGTTTAGCTGTTCAGTTTTCTGCGCGGTGAACGCCGGAAGACCCCGCGACTCCACATTAATGGAGCAATTTATCGAGCCGCCTTACAGCAGCACACAACAACCGAGAACACCGGCGGCACCCAAGGCAAACTTCTGCAGCCTCGACCACATGGACACCACAACCACACGCCAGAGGTGTTTAGTGAGTTTTCAAAGTGGAAAGAAAGCCAGTGAAACTAACGCGCAAACAGTTAAGAGGCCCTCAGAACTGCACACAGCGCTGAGAACAGCAGCAGAAGGGGAGGGGAAAGGAGGAGAGGGAGCTCCCAGCAACCGGTTCCAGAGTTTGGCCGCCGCTTTGAGAAGTTTAATCTCCGGTGAATAGACGGGGTCCGACGGGCGACACCTTCCTCTTCTCGAGAAGATACGCTGTGAAACACCTGAGTTTTTTTTCCTTTACATTCCTGCCATCCCAAACACTGAGAGCTGTCCTGGTAGACTACCGAATCCAAGATGGCTGCTCGTATGCTGAGAGAGCCAAGCCAAACCCAGCGCAGGCACCGGAAGTGAGGACAGAGACGGCTCAGAGCTCATTGGCGGAGCGGCGGCGCGAGCGCTGTTTGTTGTTGCTAGGGTGATTACGAGCGCTAGGTTTCCTCGTCTCCTCTCGTCCTAACATTGCTTTACGATGTAGCGCCAGACAGCGCAGTGCTGGCGTGTAAAATTATGAGGCCGGGTTTAAATTAAAGCGGGGCAAGCCCTCATATTTGATTAATTAAATGAGTCAGCGGCTGATTTTATCATCGCTTTGCGTGGGAACAGAAACCCGCAATCTGATTATTCCCCTCTATCCGCTAGTGCTGTGGGACTCGGGAACGAATCGTTGTGTTGAACCGTTGATTTGAACCAGAATCCAACTGAATCAGGCTTTTTGTTTATAACATGTAACGTGCGCATTGTATCTATTCGTGTTTAGCATTAAGTATATACATATATTTTCGTATTTAACCTGATAAAATCGTAAAGTTCTAGCGTATTAAAAACGATTCATTTGAACTGCTTGAATAGGACATTCTGTTTATTAAAATGGGTCGGAAGACTCGGTTCGGAGTCGCGGAATTTCTTATGATTTGGAGATTCATGTATTGAAAGGGCTTTAGCGCAAAGTAATTGAATTAAACTGCGCATCGTCAAACTGAGACAGAGACATACACACTACTGTTCAGAAGTTTGGAATTGTCATGTGCATAATTGCTGTTATTTTATTAAATAATAATGAATACAGTGTAGATTGAAATGCTATTAACTGGGCACCAGAATACATTGTAAGATGTTTTAATTTTTTTAGAGGCCGCAATAAGTTACTAATGATATATAATACACTGTAGGTACCCTGCTGGAAAAAAATCATAAAAACTATTAAGAATTTCTGTAGGTTCATGGTGGTGTTCAATAGTCACTAATGGTATTCTGAGTTTTCCTTTTGGGTTGATGTCACAGTGTAAAGGATTCTAATGGTTTAAAAGATGTTCTGGGACTGACTCCAGATGTGTTTGATGGTTGGTATCTAAAGGTGTCCTACAGGAAACTAGTGCTCTCTAATGTTAACCATTGAGCGAATTACGATTAGAAAGCAATTCTAATGGTCTTTTTGTTCTATTTTTTTAGGGTATATATGGATAGTATTTCCTTTACACGTTATCTGCCTTGAGATTTGATCACCACTTCTGTAGGGTAGTCAGACCTGCAAAGAATAATTTTATACATGTATCTGCAACAAAGTAGGTTATATATGACTGAAAACAGTGATTCCAGATTTGAACTTCTGAATAGAGGTGTAGGAGTTTTTCTTCTCAACTGCAGCGATTAAGTAGTTTATGCATGACAGCGTGGCAAACAGTACAGCCTGTACTGTTCAGCTGTACAATATTTGGCCACCTCCAGATGTAGGCCTACACACATGCACACACAGAGAGAGAGAGAGGCTTTGCTCTGTCTTGTGTTTCTCACATGAGAGAGGATGAACCGCACCTTCAGCTGTGCACTTCCTGTGTGGTTGGTTTCCCTTCAAAGGACCTATTCAGAGAGAGTGAGAAAGTATGAAACGGACAAAAGAAGAGACACATATGATGCTGTACATGTTGCAGTATAAAACTTTTATAGTTTTCTACTTTGACCACTGCTATTGACAGTATATGAATTATATGATTTACAAACAATACATTTGCAGTTAGAACCAGCAGACTTATAGTGCAAACTTTGTGCTCACTGATTATGAAATGTTACAGGTATTGTCTCAGGAATTGTCTCAGCTGTACAAAGATCTCATTGTGAAGGCCCAGTTAGATATTACACATAGCCAGCCAGTCCCTGAGCTCATGTCAGATCAAAACCCCTTATCTGATCACCCTGCTCCACCTATGTGTGTCCAAGAACAGATTAAAAACAGTATGGTTTGTAGGCAAAATTCAATTTTTTTTAGAATAAACCTGATTAAGCAGCTCATCATCATCATCGTGTGCTGTTGTAGCCTACAGTCCGTGGTCTGCATCAAAAGTTTGGTGCAACATGTCTGGAAACTACAAGAGGCTTTGCTAAAGATCAACTTTATACTACATGTAATGTAGTTTTTTTGTGTTTTAATTTTCACCTCCAGCATGAAAACACAGTTAGTCCTGTTTTTTTAAGGAGAATTAGATAATACTGAGCATCTATATAAGGCCTATAAAATGTAAATAATAGAAAAAGCCTCAAAAGCAATATACATTCTTTCTAATTTCAGACAGACTAGGAAAGCGTTTGGCACGAATGGGTTAGTTCGCTGAGCAGCAGCAGTTGTAATTGAACTGGTTCCCTGCTCATGGTCATGTACCGCCCTCTAGTGGCTCCCTAAAGGTGTTGTTCTTCAGTGCTGGTATAGTAGATGCTCATGGCAAGCTATTTAAGTCTTTTAATCTAAGGCTTTCTTGTTTGAACAATTAAAATGTCATTAATAATATTACAAATGTAATATTTAAATGTATTATGTAAAAAATCTAAAAAGTTATTTTAACTTGATACGATTCAACCCTTTTAGCCTTTAAGAGTCCAGTTATCATTAGAAAGAATTCAATTTTCCAATTCACTTTGAATTAAGAAACATTTTTTACTTGTATGAAAGTTTTTTTTAACATGTTCTAAATAAAGTCTGACAAGTAAACATTATATTTTGACATGTTGAAATTCTAATGTTTGTGTTTAATGTTTTGATTGATTACTCACTGAAGAAAAATTGAATTGTTACATTGAAAACACTGCAACAATTAAATTTTCATGAGTAAGAGCCTGTTGTGTTATTTTGTTGAGTTTTTACTACTGACTATTTGGTTAAAACAATAAAGACAGGACTTTTATTTAAAGAAAGACTTTATTAGAACCTTATTCATAACACTTAATTTTAATTGGAGGGAAAGAGGGTCACTTAACACTGTTGTTGTTCAGTGGTTTGTTGTTGCTGATGTTGTTGTTTGTCTTCTTCTTCTTCTTCTTCTTCTTCTTCTTCTTCTCTTCTTCTTCTGCCATATTGTTGTCCACTAACTCGTCACACAGTTTTCAAGAGATTGACACCATTCCAACTCCAGAATGTTCGGTCTGCTTGGGAATGGTGGGCTTATATACAGCTTTTTGATCAGCCGTATGGTTTTGTTACAACTACAGTTAAACAATGACTTTTTTACCCATAGGAATGAATTGGGTGCAAAGGTTTGCAAACCTAGCTTTTATTACCATGATAGAAGTCCAATTGTTAACACCCTATTAACCATGTAGGATATCTTAGCAACCACCAGTATCCACCTAGCAATCCCCTAGCAACCATCTGGGATACCATAGCAACCACCTAGCAACACCCTAGCAACCCCCTGGGACACCATAGCAATAACCTAGCAGCACCCTAGCAATGAAATGTGACACCATAGCAACCACTTCTGCAACTTTCTAGCAACTACCTGGGATACTATTGCAACCACCAAGCAACACCCTTGCAACCATCAGAAATGCCATTGCAACGGCCTAGCAACACCCTAGTAATTGTCAGTAATACCATAGCTACCACTTAGAAACAGCTATTTGCTATTACTAGACTAGATAGTTAAGCAAATAAATTTGGTTAGACTGGGCTTTATATCACCACCTTTCTCTCAATGTATAATACATTACTTTAAACATGACATTGTTTTGAGTGCAAAATGTTTTTCAAAGTGTTTTTGCCTTTCTTTTTAACTTTGTCATCTTCTCTTCGCAGGTTGAAACAAACATACCAAAATATCTGTGGCGGGCTGAGACAAAGCTGAAATATTAATAAAGATTTGATTTTAACTGAACAGTTTGTCATTATTGAGCAATAGTTTTTTTTTTTTTAGCAGATTAGACTAATAAGTAGTTGATTTTATTAGAATAAACAAAATAATATATAATATAAAAAATGAAAAGTAAAGATAAAGGAACATAACAAAATAGGAACATAACAAAATAGTTCAAATTAACCCTGGTCGTGGGTTGTAGGGTATTTTAAGGTAAGTCATATGTAAAAGTTTGAACACCCCCTGATCAAATTACATTCTGTTGATTTTCTAGGTGAAAATGACTTAACAGGCCCTCTAAAGTGAACAGATTTAAAGGAGCAGTGTGTAAGATTTAGTGACATCTAGTGGTGAGGTTGCAGATTGCAGCCAACTGAATACTCTGTCAAGCGATTGGTACGGCAAATTACCTGTCCAGCAGAAAACCGGCAACTTTGATATCTCTCTGAAAACATTTGTCCCTCAACAGCGATTTCTATCTGTGAAAGGCCACAGCAGTGTTTATCCTGGTTTTCTGCCATCCTCTGTCCCAATTTGATGTAGCTTCTGATTCACTTTCACTTGATTTTTCTTGTGCTAAATAAAAAATGTGATGCTTCATTTGTCAAAATTTGGGTTCTCAAACTTCTCACAACACAAAATGGTTAGCTAGCATCGGCAGCAACCACTGATTCTTCTTCTTCCTTCTTCTTTCTTCCAACCGGTGCTAGAGCACCACCAAATTCAAGCTGTTGCTTGAACATAAAATCACATAACGTGCGCTCCAGAGACAGTGTTTGGTTTGTCTGTTCTGGGCTACTGTAAAACACAGCAGCGCAACATGGCGACCTCTGTTGGAAGAGGACCTGCTCCCTGGGTAGATATGAAGAGCTCATTCTAAGCTAACGAAAACACAATATTCTGTAGTTGCAGGTGATTTACACTAATAAAAATATGGTGTTGTATACTATATTCCATTTCAGCTAATAGATTAATTCTTACACACTGCGCCTTTAAATAAGACATTTTACTGCTAAAAATACCCGCTTAGTTTACCATACTGGGAAAATAAGTTTAACATATAAGAAAAAAAATATATATATAAAATACATACATATAAAAATATAATTTTTATTTAATTTTCCCCCAGTATGTTTAATTCAGAATGTTCTCTGTAGAGGACGTGTTAACATATTTTTAGCAAAATCAACAAAGCGTGTAATTTGACCGGCGCGCCCAAACTTCTGCCTATGACTGTATCTGCCAAAAGCCCCCAATAAATTCTGTAATAACGATAGAACGTTTTGTATGTAACTCAAACTTAGTTGTTTTGTGAGTGTGCAGAAAATTTCTACATTATTGCTGTTTGAAAGATGTAGTAGAATAATGTTTCAACTCTTCTTGGTCTCCCCAAGTTGATATACAGAGCCCTGAGGAGAGATCACATCTGATTATTTTTTGAGGCTTTGTCATACACAGACATACATAATGTCAAAATGCTTTACATTTTTGCAAAACAGAACTGTCTCAACAGCTGTTTCTGGGACAGTATGACGTTTAAAAATATGGGTGACATCTGAGGGAATTACATAGATTTTTCAAATCATTCTTCCTTATTAAATCATTAATATGTAAACAGTCATTCAGACTGTTGAGATGTGAAATGATTAATTGTTGAGAAATTTACTGACTCTGATTTTCCTCACAGTGATGGTGATGAGAACCATGGGTTCTGATGTCTACAACACATAGCCATGTATTTACTTCTGAAAACCATCAGTGTACCTACATGCGTATTCTGAGCTTTTACATGTAATGTTGATGATGGTAAAAGTGCTACATATGAAAAAAGAGGTTTTTTGGGGTCTACTTTGCTGTATAGCAGCCTACGTGTACCTCTTTGCTATGAATGGATAAATAAATATATTACTTTCTCTCAAAACTATCATAAAACATTGTCTCAGGATCAGACAGAGTATTCATAACTATTTCATGTAACTCATGTAACTTACATGTAACTTTCTGTGAACTCTTTAGAAATCTGGTTCCTATCATCACCACTGGGAACAATTCTGACTATGTTTTTCCAGAACAGAGCATGTCTAATTAAACCACTCTCCATTTACTCCATTTAATTATACAGAAACAAAAGAAAAAAGTGGAATTCCCCTTAAAGCGAACAAACAGAGCCATGAATTTTCCCTCTCATTCTGCTGCTTATCAAAACCGTGACTGAGTGAGCACACACTTACGTGCTGATATGAACAGTGCTGGAGTGAAACCATGCTGGATGAGTATATGAATGTTGATAAAAATATAGAATGAGTGAAACTATGGAATTTGTCTTTTCTCTTGATTCTGTGAAGGATAAGCAATAGAATATCTTTACCTTTTTGCTGCGCTTTACTTTTTTCTTACTTATGGAATAAAAATGGTGCTAAATTTAAAAAACAATCACTATGGTGGAAAAACGTGAAATGCAATGCATGAATGACATTACATTTCCACACTGACATGCAGAATACGTCCAAAAATGAAAAACAAAACCTCATTTGCATTGTTGTTATGTCATTTGACTTCCTTAATGAAAAACAATACATGAAGATTTTCATTTAAAAATTACATCTTAAATTTGTAATGGATTTGCTGCATTGAAATGCAACCAAAACAGTGAAATGCATAGCGCACACTAGATTGAAAAAAGTAACATGAATTCCTCTCCATAAATACTAAGCCATATTTTCAGTTCCTGGCTTCTTTTGAGTTCTAGTGTTCTCTGGTTATTGCCTTTGCCTGCCTGTTCCTAGATTTTGATATTGGATTTGACAGTTTTGTCATGGGCTGGAGGTTAGGGAACCAGCCCTGTGACAGGTTCGATCCCCTGAGCCAGCAGTACATGACTGGGCTACCCACCGCTCTGGGCAAGTGTGCTTACTGCCCCCTAGCGTGTGTGTTCACTAGTGTGTATGTGGTGTTCCACTGCACGAATGGGTTAGACGCGGAGGTGGAATTTCCCCATTGTGGGGCTAATAAGGGTCACTTAGTCTTAATCTTAAGTAATGTCAATGAGAGAAAACTGATTAAAACCAACAACAGAGTGATTTCATTTTTTTGATTGTTGTTACAAAAGAATGTGCAGAATTTTGATATGAAACTCTTCAGATATATAATCATTGCTAAAGAGCCTTTTAAGAACTAAGTTTTTAAAAAGTGTAAATACAGTGAGGCGAAACAAGTATTCAGACATTTGTGCTTTTTTCTTTAATATACTTCCAGTGCATGTATTCACTTCAGTTACAGACATGTTCTTTGACTTTGTACTTATGAACATGAGCATAAAATCATGTATTTATAAGTAAAAACAAATACATGTTTAAATTAAGATAATTATCATTATATATATATATATATATATATATATATATATATATATATATATATATATATATACATGTATCCATATGTATATATGTATGACAGAAACATGAATGGATGTGCCGGGAGATATTAGACGAAATTCTAATCTCATTGACCAAGAAATTGTCTCTGGCTAGAAAATAGACTTTTCAACAAGAAGAACATACAGCCAAAACAGCTCAAGACTGGTCTCAAAGCAGAAGATGAAGATGCTTACCTAATCTCCTGACTTGCGTGCCCATCTGAGGACTCGTAACTTTGGGGAACTGAAGACAGTTTGCCAAGAGGAATGGGCTAAAACCGAACCACAATGCTGCAAAAAGCTAATTACTTCATACTGGATTTCTGCATGGTTTTGATGATTTTGCTGCTCAAGCACACCTGATTCAACTCTCCTGTTATTTACCAGGTTTAGGTGATGTGTTAGAGCAGGGAAATTAGCAAATTGTGGTGGACCCTGGCCCTCAGTTCCTCACCCTTGCTGTGGATGCTAGTACTGTACTGCAGTTATTCATTTGTGATGTCTAATTTTTCCCTATCAATATCATTTTTTAAGAATATCGTCATGTATGCTTATGAATACATATGTTTCTGTTCATATTTTCTAAGTACAAGCATGCGTGTACATTTGAAAAATGAAAATCTATCAATGAAAGAATATCAAATTAAAAATACAAATATGTCAGCAACAGAAAGAGTTTAAATACTTGTCAAATAAACTAAGATGCAAAACTGTGCTAATGTATTTCATTCATGTGGAAATGACACATTTTACACACACTTCATATGCATTTGAAGAAAATTCACTTATTTTTTTAGCATGCTCTGAGAAAAACAATTCAACTTTCTATTTTATTTTATAAATATTACATTTCTAGAATAACTTGTTTTGGGGCAAAAGCTGTTTGAAGTCATTATTTTTAGCTGTAAAAGAGTGTAACGCATGCAAATAAAACAGGAATAAATACACCTCAGGGTCATTTTTCATACCTGGTTTTACTGTAGACACCAGGCCTAGCTAAACATCTTTCTAAACTCTTCAGAGACTGACTGAGAAACTGAGCGAGCAAGGCTGAGCTTGGATGAGTAGCTGTTGTTTGCTCACATTTAAATGCACTGCCATAGAACAAAGTTCATTGTGAGTGTGAGCTGAAACCTGGCCATGCCCTCCTCCTCCTCCTCCTCTCTCCTTCTGCAACTCTCCCACTCCCTTCTTCACGGATACTCTCTGACAGTTCTCCACACTCGCCGCAGCTGTGAGACCATAGGAGCCTCAAATAATGGCACAGCTTGCAGAAGAAAACATATACGAAAAAATAGATGAAGGGAATGTGTACGAGAAGCCATTTGATGAACCGGGTGGGCCTGCAGAGGTGCAGTACGAGAACCAAGATGCTTATAAAGACACTACAGTGAAGGAGGCTTTATACAGTGAGATTTCAATGGATGAGCCTGCTGAGAAGGCAGAGAGAAGTTCATCTCCAGACTATATGAACACCAGAGACAGCACGCCTGAGGTAGAAGCCAATGGCAGCGAGAGCTTGACCGAAGAAGAAAGTGCTCGTCCCTTCAGTTCCAGCCCAGATGTGGGTGAAGCTGCTGAACAGGTGAATGGCGATGGAGTCTTGTCCAGACACTCATCCTCGTCATCCATCGAGCAGTGTGGAGACCCGTGTGAAGAAAGCACTGAGGATGCCATGGCCATGGCTTTTGCCTTCTCAGCACCCAGATCTTCTGAACCAGAGGAAGAAGTCGACTACAGTCTCAAAACGGTGGACCCCAATCCAGCTGCGGCCCCAGAGAGAGCCATCAACTCCACACAGCCTGAAATCTCTCTGTTTGTTAAGGTAAGGTCCATTATACCATTACAAACACAGCAAAACTTCTAGTGATGAATTAGCAAACACCAGACTGTGACACTTCATGTCTGTGAAACCATAGCATTGGGCTATATTTAGTGGCACAATGAGTTGAATGTAATTCAATGCAGCTAAAAATGGGTGGAAAAGTGAAAAAAGTTTGTGAGGACAATGTTCAGAAGCCAAAAATGACCTTTCAACCTTAAGATACTGACTGAAGGTCACATAGGTGTGGCTGTACAATAATGGTTATGATAATCATTACTTGAACTTCAGCCATCTGGATCTTGATGTTTAAAAAAATATTAAAATGAAACAGTTCTCAACTTGAAATACAAGTGAACACGCTGGTCAAATTCCATGTTTTGTTGATTTTCTAGGTGAAAATAAATTCACACATTCTCTACAGAGAACAAACTTAAATGACATTTTTTCAGCAATTTTTAGTGCACAATTTCTATGGGAAAAAACATAACATTAATCCTAAAATGTGCCAGAACATTTGCACAGGCCACATTCTGTGTTGTGATTTTTCCCCAAAATGTAAACTTCAGAAAATAAGTAGCGATTGTGAATTTTCACATAGAAAATCAACAAAAGCAGGGTTGCCCAAACTTTTGCACAAGCCACATTTGATTAGTTTGTACTATATTTTTCCAAAATGTTAAATTCAGCAAATAAGTAGCAATTGTGAATTTTCACATAGAAGCTGGGGCGCCCAAACTTTTTCATATGGCTGTAGACTGTGCAAATAAAATTCAAGTGCAAGATTGAAATAAATGAATAAAATCTAAGATAATATCCAAATGTCTTGAGTTAGTTGGTTCACTCAGTAGTTAATCAGTTTCGTGATGGTGTGATTTCTGATCTGTGGATGTCGACAGACATCCAGAATACAATGGCAACAGTGAGGAGTTTCTCAGTCAATCAGCCATTTTTTCAATTATTAACTTCTGCTTTCCTCAAGTCACTGTGTTACTAGATTCCAGACACAGAACAAAAGTAGTTTTATGTAAAAAATATGCTGCCAATTTGAAATTTGAGTCAAATATCATCTCAGTGTAGGACTAGGCTTAATCTAAGATCTATGTGTAAAAAAAGTGGCCTTTATAGAGGCACATGTGTTAAGTGCGTTTATATCTATTTCCTTCATGTGAAGCTGTGATTGTGGCATGTGTTTCATCAGGACCCAGCAAGCTGTTTAATCATTCACCAGTTAACTGTACAGTCATGGAAACAAGAGTGAACTTCATGCCTGAAAGTGAACCCATGTGTTCTCTTTGCTTTTTGATAGAGGAGGGCTGCAATCTCTGTACTTGAGGGGGTCACTTTGCTGATTGAGCAACAGTGATTGTGACAGTGTGCAACAATCATGAGCTGAAGAGGAAAGGCTGAGACAATACTGAACTGAATTAGTACAACTTGCCAATTATTAAGGGATTTTCTTTCTAAAGAACTGAAAAAAGAGTCTGTAGGCTGTAGAAGAACCTATAGATTGTAGATGAGAACAAAAGCATTGCTATGCATCACACTTCAAAGTTCATATGCCCATATAACAAAAATATAACTTACATTTTATGCAGCATCATTATCTTAACAGGACGTATGAAGATAGCTGTTATTGCATTGAATATATTAAAACATAGAAATGATGGTCTTTAAAATGGAGACTAAAATGGTGGTTATATTTTCACAACCATTTTATGGTCACTTCATGTCATAAAATAGATCACCGCAATAAAAAGCATGAGAGTTATAGCAGACATTTACTTCACAGGCCCACTGCAGCACTGTAACAGTAACAGATTAAAGTAGCAGTCAATGTGCTTAGTAGCTTAACTTTTAGTGTTTTTTTAAATGACAGCTTTTTACCTTTTGCTTTGTTCTTGAGCAGTCATAGTCCTGATATAACCATCATGTAGAGACTGATCATTTTATATTGGTTTAGTCATTTTTTATATAGTTTCAACTCAGGAGTTAATTACATAAGATCAAATTGGGTTGGGTGAACTGCATATAGTATTTAGTTAATGAACAGCAACTCCACTTGCTACATCTGCAATGCAAAAAGAGTAATAAACAGAGTTCATTGCTGAACAGAGTTCATTATTTTTTTTACATTACTGATGTAGCAGTTTTTATATGTGGATCATGTGAAGATGGAGAGCAGCAGCAAAAACTGCTAAAATACAAAGTGGCACCAAGAAAGACCTGAATTAAAAGCTACTTAAGGAGGATGAGGACATATTTAAGCAGGTGGGCAATGTCCTTAACATAGCTAGCCTAGTATTAGTTTGACTGTCACGATTAAGTCGCATTTAAGATAAAGGTTTTGCAAATTTCCACTTCATCACAGCTTATAAGTAATAAATAAGAGTGAAAAATGAAGAAGAGGAAAAGGCACAGATGTGTGTGTGTGTGTAGCGTGTATGTGTGTGTATGAAATGCAGTTAGTTTGGGGTGAGCTGGTCTGCATCATGTAACTCCCAGCCTCCAAACGAATCCCACTTTGGCCCTAATCTAACCTATTTGCTTTGCTTTGTGCTTTTTCATTCAAGGTATTTAATAAAACCAGTTAAATTGCTTGTTACTACATAAAGTATTACTACATGAAGGTTTTATGAAGTGACAACCCATTCTTAAACATGTAAAGGTACACTAAAGAGGTCAAATAAAGGGGTCATGTCTAATGTTTATCTTGTACTTTTTGTGGATTTATGGAAAATTAATTTATACGTGACCATTTCCCAACCTCTCATTCTCCCTTTGAACTGAACAGGTGTTCATTCCTGTGGCTTTAAGACTGATATGTCTAAATGACCTCTGTTCTGATTGGTCTGTTCTGAAACACTCTTTATAACTTCAGTGTAAATGGGTGGGGCTGAACTGCTGTAGGCTGAATAGTTCTATACTTGGAAATGCACTGAATTTTAAGACATCACAAAAACAGTAAATTCAAAATGGGCCGTTCTCTATAAGGACTGAATTACACATTGAGATGTGAATGGACATTTACCATATATTACATATAAAAAGAACTTGTATTATTATAAACTCTAGATGCCAGATTGAGTTTATGATGTTCACATTGTGTGGTATCACCATACTATAATCTATATATTCAGTGATTTAAATTCCTTTGAGAATCTTCAGTAAATAACAACCTGTTAATTTTCATTTTACCTCTCAACCTGAAGGCTTATTCGGGTGATATTCTTTAAACATATTATGCAGAACTGTAAATTATTCAATAACTATGATGAAGCTAATATGTAAGTTATGTAGTTATGAAAGTGAGGAGCTGCGGTGTGAGCCCACACCACCACAGGCCCCTCGCTGGGGACCATTTCCAAGAAACTATGGCTTAGAATGAGTACTTAACTTTAGCTGTGGCTGATGTGGCGAAGAATAGGGAAAAAAAGCTTGCTCTTGCACTGAGAAAAAACGAGCACTCCAGTTTACTGTATGTCATCTTGAAGCTGGACAGTGACCTGAAGCATAGTACAGGGAGATTCACTTGAAAGAGGCCCCGAATATTCTGTTGTAACTCCCATTAGGATGAAGCAATCTGAACAAAAAAAAAATATGCTACATACCTTGATGTATGTGTAATCGATTGCATTACAGGCGATGATGGAAGTGATCTCTGTTTTCTGCCAGACACGTGAAGGGGCATGGGGTATGCACCCGGAAGTTGCAAACGGAGGTTAAACGTCACAACGGCTGTGTGGGGCCTACCTCAACGCCCCGATGCAGGAGCATCCCAGCTTGTTCGAAGCTCCATATACTAAGGAGCACATTGCACATTGTTTCGTTCAGATTGCTTCGTCCTAGCGAGTTATTACAGAATATTCTGGGCCTTTTTCGAGTTAATCCCCCTGTACTAAAGCAATTGTGGAGAATTTTAGGGTCAAAAGTGAAACATTTTTGACCTGCTAACTCAATGAAGACAAAACTGAAGGCAAATTGCCCCCAGAACATGCAGAAACTGAAAATGCCTGGCAGGTGTGGCAGAGCATCACCAAGGAGGATGACCAGAATCTGGTGATTTCTATGGTTAAAAAATCTTGAAGCAGTTGTTGACTGCAGTGGATTTGTAACTAAATATTAACTGGTGAAAGGGGGGAACAAAAAGCCCTGTGATTCCTATAAGGTTTATTTTATATAAATATAAATAACCTCACATTAAAGGGGACATTGTGCACTTTATTCAGTTTCGATTCACAGGGGCAATAACTTCCTGCCCGACTTATTCTAATTGCACTGACTTCCTTTCAATGCTTTTTTTTCTTCTCCTGTAAAGTTACAATTATATAAGGTTTTGTCAGAGCAGCATGTGTGTCATGCATGCAAAGTAATTGTAGGCAGTGTTGCACATGTAGTTAGCGTCAAGGTGAAATAACTCCTTTAATCCAGGAATGAAAGATTAATGAGTACCACTGTGAACACATTTATTTCGAGTGCAGTGACATAATGTGTAGAATTTCCATTTTACAACCCCCCATCATGTGGTGTACAGTTGATGTATTCTGCCATCAGAGGGAGCTGTGCAGCCTGTACACTGGCAAGGTAGCAGGAGATTTCTCAATTTCTCTCTAGGTATGGAGTGATTCTCATACTGATCCATTAAGCACCATATTCAATAACTTAACAATTGCATTACCAGTCACACTTCAGTCAAGAAATACATTGTTATATCCCTGTGTTACTTAAAATTCTCCTTTTATTACCTACGCTTGCTCGGTCACAGGTAGAAGGGTATCGTCAGAAACCTGACACAAGCCCACACTGTGCTGTGTATCCAGTGGAAGCCAGAAATGGCAATTAAAAACTAATTGGCTGGTACTCACACAAGTACGACTAGGGTATAAATACATTTTTGACTGATCTCAGTTCACTGCCCCATATAAGCCTTTTCAGAAAACCTTGAAAGACTATTCTCTCGATAAAACCAAAGCCAAATCATCAAATATTCAAAGGGGAATCTTGTTCCCCTGGGCTTCCGAGGCTGATCAAATATAACCTGCCACTGCCTGCCAGAGTGTGGCCTGTGTGTTAGGGCCTATTAAAAATGGATGCAGCTCATTCCTTTGCTCTTGGTTTCTGGGCCACGACTGTACTACAGTTACACATGGAGAAAATGTTATGTTCTACAAGTTTTTTGCATTTAAGATTGTAAACAGCAAGCTTTGTGCGCTGTACTTTTTAAAGCCATATCTTTACTTCAGAGAACAATAAATTCCAGACTCATAAATTCTCTGATAACGCAGTGTTGCATAATAAAGCAGCGATCTTTCAAATGGCATTTTTATCTTCTCTCAGTGTTTTTGCTTGTGCTTTCCTCACCTCAGTTCACATTGTCTTGACACAAAATACACACTCTTTGTCCAATAGTAGAGAAGGTTCATTAAAGGGCCTTTGTCATGGAAAACCAAATTTTCACCTATTTTGAATTGATCATGTTTGTGATGTCACAACCACATGGCATGGTTATGATGTCACAACCATGAACACATCTGCATGTGACCGCCCAGCCTGCCTACAGCAGTTTAGCACTTCTATTCATTCTTGGAACGGAAGATACTCAAATGGCCAGGACCCACCAGATGGTCCAAAATTTTATTACACACTTCTGTGACCTAAGAAAAACACAGCCAGTTTGCACTGTAGTCGATGTGGTTACTGAATAATAAGCCTTGGAATGTACTAAGACTGGGATTTTAAGAGGTTAAATGTTGTGCTGTTCCTGGCTGTTGGGAGGCGAATGCATCAATGAGCTTTCCAAAAGGACTCCGACATAATGATTCATGGTTGACATATTTTTCTGACCTCCCTGAAGATTAAACTTGACAGTTCTCTACATTTCAGACTGGACCGCTTTTTGAACAAGGCACAATACAAGATGGCCAATGTAAACAGAGGCCAGTTACATATCAGTCTTAATGGAACAGTAAGAAAACAGCCTCTTTCATTTTTTATTCTAAGCAGTGAGGAAATGTAAAAAAAACGGTCATGTAAAAATGAATTACAGCTGTTTTTGGTACATTTTGCTACATTTTTACTCAAAAGGCTCCACTGTCATTTCTAATACTCTAATGAGAAGTTGTCCAAATGCGGTATTAAACTGCCCATGTTCAAACACTAAGAAACAGCCACAAGTCTCAGAAAAGATTATGTAGGTCTCTAGCATGTAGCAGAGATGCTGCATTCCTCCAGCTGGTGCTCTGCAGGCCAGATTTGGCCCCAAGCTCATCACGGGCTCTGCGCAGTGAAGGAGGGGGAGAGCTCCTCCCCTGGCAAAGCTTCACACCTATTCCCTGCTCTCTCTCTACTGCATCCCTGTTTGTGTGGGAGAGAAGCACCCGGCCCATAGCTCACAACACCCCACCTGCTGCCTGCCAACTGCAGGACAAGAGAACTTTACTGCAGAACAGTGGCCTCACACTAGGCCAACCAGGACTGCTTTTACTAAGTGGGACGATGTAGGGGACAGTGTGTGGAATGTACCTGCTCTTCTTTTATCTATAACTTGGATGACGATAAATCAGCTGTAACGATGACTTCAAATGGAGGGGGCCGGGACCCAGATATTGAATTGTTTGTCAAGGTAGGTTAGAGAGACATGTCATAACAAAACTTTAGTTTTTAAGGAAGGTTTATGTCTTGCTAATGTTATTCTGCTCGTTTGATGTCCCTGGAAAGGCTGTGTAATATAATAGTTGCTCTAGAGTTACAGCTGGACTCCTAACCCAGGTCTAACAGCTCCAGATCTACTATTAGATTCTCACCAATGAAGACTGTATAGGTTGTTTTTTCAGTTGAGAGAGTATAAATCTTGTTCTTGTGGATACCTATGCATATTGAACAAATGGTGCTTTGAATTTACATGATCTAAATGTGTCTAACAGTTCCACATTAACAAAACACAACACAATTGAACAGTAACATATTCTATGTTCTATGTTTGGACACAGACTCATAGGTAGACCTATAGGTATGCAAAACAATAACACATTGAATTTACTTGATGTAATTATGTACATCATTTCCACATGAATGAAATATATTACATCAACAAATTGGCAAAGGTAATTAAACCAAAAGACAGAACTGTGTTGTTGTAATATATTTTATTTGTGTGGAAATGGTGTTTAAATTTGAATAATCACATGCATTACTTTTTGAGTGGGCGTATTTGTTGTTGTGCAGCATGTGCTGTGATCTATATGATTGAATGGAGTTTTTGGATTTGTGCTGTACAAGCCTAAGGGCTCCTCTGAGAGAGGGGCAGGTGGAGTAGCAAAGAGCTAATGAGGTGCTGATGCAGAGGAAACAGCACTTTACATGCACCCAGGTTTGTTTTTGTGCAATGTCAGGACGTGGGGTAATTGTAATTATATTCCCTGACATTGTGTATGTATATATTTATATATGTGCATGAGGTTCGATAAGTTGGAACAAACTATTACAAAAAATTACAATCAAAAACTATGAATACATTGATTTTATTCAACATTCCACATACTGCACTGCACTAAATCCACTTAAACAGTACTGATTATGCTTTCTTTGTAATAGAAAGTGATGTAGTGTGATGTAATTTGTCCAAATAATGCTGAATATAATCATATTGCCCACCCCTAAGTACTTATATGTCATAAGACCTCTTACCCCCTTTCTGATTTTAACCTCAGTAGCCAAAAAGAAATGGTTGCCCTTTTAGTTTTAAAAATGAGACGGCTTTTGTAAAATGCACTTTTATGAAGTCAAGACCGTCTGTGCTTAAATTGATGATGAGCCCTGTTTGTTCTATTGTTTCTACGAAGTCAGTGCAATGTTCTAACAGTGTACAAAAACAAAGACAGACACACACACAGGTAGAGTAACTGATCCTGAGTGACTGAATGTGTGGAATGGCTCTGTTTGGAAATGAGATAGAGCTAAGATCTCATTCAGTTGTATGCATATTTGTTAGTTATGTAGTAAGTAAATCAGAAGCGTTCTTATTTCTTTCATCCACTTCTTGACTCCAACTGCTGCTTTCATGTTGTAAACCTCACCTCACCTAAACAGTGAAGTTACTGGCTGGATCTGCTGCTTTCATGGCACACTGGCCTATTGTCCTGTACTTTCTAGACCTTGATTCACTATTGTTAGTTGTATTTTGTTGTGTGAACACTGCTGTACATTTTCCAGAATGGGGAGATGAGGGGTCATATGAGAAGTGGGGTGATTTCCACACTGCTCTGCTAGTTGTTTCAGCCACTGGATTTTTCCTTTTTACATAGTCTGCTGTTTGTCTATGATGGATGTAGTATCTGTTTTTTCTTTTCCTTTTTGGTGAAAAATGTCATGAAATGACATTTATTAGTCAAAGTATAGCAGAGAGCTTACTACTGCCGTACAATAAACTATGATTAGATTAGTTAGTGATGGGCTAAATAGACTATTTAGCTATTTATTTATAGACTTAGACTAGTGTAATGGTAGTCTAATTGATCCAGATTAATTAGTAATTTGTATAATTCAGCTAATCAGAATATAACTCATCTTAAATTCTACTCATGGAATTAGTTTTAGCTGAATGCTATGAATAGCGTGTTTGACCCAGGCATGCTCTGACTGTGGTCGATGGAGCAGGTAATAGAATCAGAGTGCATTATTCTTATTGTCCTGGGTATTAGGTCACATGGTATGCTTTCCATAGCAAGTCCCCTGTCACCCATGCCGCTGTGTTTAGACACCTGATCTCTTTAGCACACAGGCAGAGCAGTGTGACTGTGAGCTCTCCCACTGTGCTTCAGTACATTCATTATGCTACATCTAACATAGATACTCATTCATGACCACCAATCACCACACTTTGCTGTATTCTACTGTTACGTAACCAAACAGTTACTATCTCAGTTACTATGAAATGACTATCATTGGAAGATAAGAGATATCAGTCTCAGCATGTCCCAGCTCGTTTATGTTTGATTGTACTTCATACTGTTGAGCTGAGTTTATTGGATTCTCTGCCCTTTCAAGTCTCAGCTTTGATTTCACGAGAAACATTATTATGTTAATAAGTCACTTCTTGAGTTTGAACACCAGGCACTTTTTCATCATAATTACTCGCACACTTAATATTCTGTTCTGACATTGTGGGCCCACATCCTGCGACCCCTGGTGTTCTCTTTCAATATTTGTGTGAGTTTTGTACCAAAACCAGTCATAATTCGGTTTTGCATGGCCATTTTCCAACCTGTGCCTTTAAGACTAATATATGTAAATGACCTCTATTCTGATTGGCTGTCCTGTATTGTGCCTTTACTTAAAATGCTGAAAGACTCCTCATAAATTCAGCATTAATGGTTAGAGCTAAACTGCTGTACACTGAATAGGTGAATATATGTAAATGTGTTGGTTTTTGTGACATCACAGAAACAATGATTTAAAAACAGGGTGGTTTTGCAGCTTAGTTTCTATATATATGGACTGTATAGACTATAGACTGCATGGTATGTTTTGAAACTAGCAGTATTTATATGCTAAAAACTATTTTTCAGATTTCAGAGAGGAAAATTCAGTTTACCACCGTATGGGCACTTTAAGTGCCAAATACATCAGTTCATTTAGGATGCAAAAGATGACCCCAATGAAGGGATTTGTTTCACTTTGACATCTTTTAGACTAGACTCCAACACAATGTTCTGAGAAATAACAATCAGCTGGTACATGATGACGCCAACAGAGGGCACTATGATGCTGTATTTCTTTCCTTTAGTTTCCCTTTTTGTACCCTTTGGTGATCAGAGCCTGTGATGACTTCAGTATAAGCTTTAATGTGATCAGAATGATCTATCTGACTGTGACTATGTTCTCTGCAGGCTGGGAGTGATGGAGAAAGTATTGGGAATTGTCCATTCTCCCAGCGCCTATTCATGATCCTCTGGCTCAAAGGGGTCGTCTTCAACGTAACCACTGTGGACCTGAAGAGGTAAAAAACCTTTTAACATGACGATAACTTGTACTTAATGAAATAAAGTGTTTTCACACTCGTGACGTATGACATATGCTCTTTGTTCTTATATCAAACCTTTTCTTCATACATGCAAACACTCCATGGTCATTTTTCTATTTTTCCAACACCCAAAGAGCTTCTGATTACATTGCTCAACAGCAACCTAGGCCACACATGTCTAACAACTGTGAAAATTCATAGTTTTACTTGATATCATGTGCAGGAAACCAGCTGACCTGCATAACCTGGCTCCAGGCACCCACCCTCCTTTCCTCACCTTCAATGGCGAGGTCAAAACTGATATCAACAAGATCGAGGAGTTCCTAGAGGAGGTGCTGGCACCACCAAAGTACGACACTGTATACAGTATACTGTATACCTTTTCCACACTCAGTAATATGGTTTTGTAGTATGTAGCAGTTTTATGCTTTGACTTCTTGGGCTTTATTCTTCCCTCTATGACTATTAATTCTCCAGTTTATGTTTTGAAATACGCCAAAGATATTATTGAATGGCATGTCCTTGATATTTGCCTAGGAGCTGGAAAATGCTAGTAAACACTTTGATTTTCTCTGTTCTTTGTGCCTAAGATACCCTAAACTGGCAGCCAAGCACAGGGAGTCAAACACAGCGGGGATTGACATATTTGCAAAGTTCTCAGCTTACATCAAAAACACAAGGCCAGATGCCAATGGAGGTAGGCATGTCAAACTGAATCACTTGACTTTATGAATGTATGTTGAACATTATAGATGCTGGTATGCTAAAACTGAATATTGGTAATTCTAGACTTCACCTGTTTATTGCATTAAATGTAATATTATTAGTGATTCCATTTACATTTATTATTATTTATTACTTTAATTCATATTTTGAGTTGCTAGACCCCCATGACCTCATTCCTCTGACATCTTGGCCATGTTTTAGATAATTTTAGATAATAATTTAGATTGTGAATAAAATGTTTTGTCAGTTTTACACTCATGGCAGTTAGTGGATCAATTTGTGTTAGACACAAGTGATTTAAGTGCTAATGGTCTGAGGAATGTACAAACTACTAGTGAGAGGTCTTAAAACCAGTTTCAGGTTCGGAATTTTGTAATCATTCGTAGTTACTGAACTGTTATGCAACTGACTCATGCCACTCTAAGTTGGGTGGCATGAGTCAGTTGCTTCAACAGTTCAGTTAACTACCAATGATCAGTCAACTACCAATGCTAATGGAAAATTGAGATGGGTGTGGAAAACCTGTAAAATTTGATAAAAACTGTTAGTCAACTCGCTGTCCAGAGAAATTGTTCTATTGCAAAAGGACGCTGCTTAGATGCTTTGCTTAACATCCATTTTGGTAGGCTCTTTAAATGTGAGCATGCGAAACCGGTACTATGGTGTTTAATGTGAAGTGGCTGCATTGGTCAGTAATGCTGGGCAGTGTAATCCAAATACATGGTGAGCCTGGTTTGGGCTGTGATGACACAGCAAAGTGCACCAACATTTTGTGAAACAAACTTTATTTTGAGAATGTAAAAACTAGTGAGCTTTACATCCACAGTCGTGAGACTGCAGCAAAGGCAAAAAAAAAAGCTATACTACTGCCCAGCTAGCAGGGAACATTCCCACAACTTTGGCTAACTTTACCTGCAAGTTCAAATACTGTTTAAAGAAAACCTTTAATCTAATGTTCGAAGAAAATTATGGATGTTTATCATTTCAAATAATGTTCCTATAAGGTCAGGCATAATGTTTTAACTGAAACATTCAGAGGGTGTTTTGAGGATGTTGGCAGGGCAATGGATTATGTTACATGATGATGTTTTTAGAGAACGTTCCTAGAACAACATTCTGGAAAAAAAATAAAAAAAACTGAAAACATTAATAGAACACGTGTGTAATATTCTCAGCACGTTTTAAGGACAAAAAAATTCTAGCTGGGTGGCCACCTAGTGTCAAACCCATGAATGATTACTAAATCCAGGACCAGAAACTGGTCAGGGTCCAAATTCGAAGGCATCTGCTTTAAAGGGTTAACAGAATATAGACAATTATTTCTTAGATCAGTTATTTTTATTTCTGCAATTTAGTGTGAATAGATTCCTGTGCCTTAAGAATATGTGATATTGTTTGTGATAGCACTGGAGAAAAGCTTGACGAAGGCCCTGAAGAAGCTGGACGAATATCTGAACAGCCCTCTACCTGAAGAGATAGATGCAGACAGCATGGAGGAGGAGAAGAGCTCCAGCCGTTCGTTCCTGGATGGGAACGAGCTGACTCTGGCAGACTGCAACCTGCTGCCAAAACTCCACATAGTCAAGGTGAGCTACATGGCTACGTTAGTGAACGATGGCTATGTGAGCTACAGCTACACAGTCTTCAAATGTAAATTTCAGGTGTAAATTCAGCACTAGTGATTTTTCTCTATGTAAGGAAAGGCTAAATGTAAATGGTTGTCCTGCTTTTTAACACTTTCAATTTTAAGGGCCTTTAGGTGAACCCACACAGCAGTTCCTCACTCTAATGAATTACGTGTCAATTAGTTACAGTAGTCCTTGTACAAGGTTTGTAGAAGCTATCGAATAATAAGCAGTGGTGAACCTATACAGCCTTCTAGGCCTTAAGAGAGTGATTTATGTGAAGAACAGTTGTTCAATATGATCATTATGCTTGTTGAATTTAAACTCTAAATATTTTTGAAAATGTTTTAGGTTAGAAACTAAAGGGTTAAACACCACGATGGAAAATTGTCCCATCAGGATTTTTTTCTCTGTGGTATCTAGGTAGATTTAGTCAAGCTAGCTAGTTACCATTGGTTAGGATTTCAGCATCTGAACAGAAGGCCTAAAGTCTCAGATAAATCACTCACATGATTAGGAACTGACAGTGGATTCAACCAGTCACGTTTACAATGGCTGGAAAAAAAATAAACAAGAAACATGTTACTCTAGACCTTCTGGAAATCCTAGATACATCTCTGGCTGCGAATGTGAGTGGTAGCTTGACCAGTGTGTTTGGTCAGATGGAAAACAGCAGCAGCTCTATGCAAGGGCTCTAAAGGAAGCACTGTAAAACTGCTACATGGTAAAATGTATGTTAATGTCTGCTAGAGGCTTCAAATCAAACATAGAATGTCTTTTACAAGCGTTAAATGACTCTGTTTAATTTAGAGAGGCCCAAAATGTTGATGTGAATCATTATTAGCTTAGTGCTAATATTCTACTAAAATCCCGTACAGGTGCTAGTGGATATTAGCATTAATGTAGAGGTGTCGAGACCTAGCTTGATACTTACAGTTTGCCACTAATAATACATCTTAAAGGAATACTCCTTTGTTTTTAGCTCAGTTTCTGTTTGCAACATCTGTATCGCTTGACTGATTACCACAGATAATAATTTTGACCCATTTGCCTGAAGCAACTGCCTATTGGTTTCTATTATAAGTGTGTTTTGAGATAACAGATTTTCTGCTTTTATTAAGTATTGAGTGCAACATCACAATTATTGTCTGTGGTGATCAACCATACAATAGAAAACACTGGAGCATTTCTTTCAAAATAAAATAAATAAAGAGTTCAGCGTAGGTTTGAAGCTTGATCTCAAATTTTTCAACTGTGCTGTTTTTTTCAGGTCGTTGCCAAGAAGTATCGCAACTATGACATTCCTTCTGACATGACGGGAGTGTGGCGCTACCTGAACAGTGCCTACGCACGAGACGAGTTTACCAACACTTGCGCTGCAGACAGAGAGATTGAACTGGCCTATCAGGATGTAGCAAAAAGGCTGGTCAAGTAAATGATGTGACACAACTAACAGAGGAATAAGGCTTTACAGATGCAGTCAGAAATAGATCTGAGGTGTAGAGTTTGGTTTTGTATACTTTAGCTTTATATAATTTGTAACTACTGCAAATGAAACCTGAAAAAAAAGTTCCGTTCTGAACACGGGTGACAAAATAAAGAGACCTGCTGACTCAGCACTGGACCAGAAAAGTCTTGTTCCACTGCAACTTGTGTCTAAAATCATCATAACTTGGTGGATTTTTTTCTGATAAGTTGATTTTCCTCTATTTATTCCTATCATTTAGTTTATCTCTTTACAGTAGTTGTTGACTGTCAATCACACGCAAAGACCTGACTGCTGAGGAGAGAGATTTCTGTTGATTAGCTGAAAAATAGTCACTGTAACAGTTTTCCTCTGTTGTGATGATTTTCAGTAATGCACAGTCTGTTTCATTAGACTTTAAGGCATTCACTGAACTCTTCAGATATGATTGTTTAAGCTGTGTATGCCGATATTCTGTATGAACGCTTAAAGGAATTGTTCAGCGAAAGATCTAATTTATTCAGTTTTCCACTTACCTCTGATGTATTTGATGAGCCAAGACATGTCCAGTGTCTAAATTTTGCTTCTTTAGTTCAATGCTGATGCTATACAGCTAACATTGCTAACAAACAATAAAAGTCAATAGTCACCCAAATCTTTTCTGTAAATACATCTCTAGAACTTCACTTGAGGCTTATCAATGTGGTTTAGAATACAGTATGACTTATTCTGAACTTTAAAAATGAACAAAACATCACTGTGTACATTAGCTAAATGCTGTGAGCTGCCACTTTGGACCCTTGGACAACAGATGTTGTGTTTAATTCTAATTTCTCTGCGTGTGCATGTCCAAAACCATGTCAACAAGTCTGCACAGCCTTAATGAAGATCAGGATGCAGTGTAAGCAGGTTGAAAGAAACTTTGATTGTGCATTTAGGGAAAAGATTTAGGTGACTATTGACTTCAAATGCTTATTAGCAGCTAAAATAAAGAAGACCAATTTGGACACCAAACATGTCTTGGCTAATTGGCTTAGTGGAAAATGGTGTAAATTAGATTTTTCGCTAACAACTACCTTAAATTATGTCTTTAGGTTTATTTGTGTTTTCCAGAAACAGAGAAAGAACAAGTGTGAGCAGTAGAGCAAGACAGAACACAGAAACCTGTTGGTGAAACCTGTGAACAAATCACATTTTTGCATGACTGTTTCTTAATTGAATCTGTTTGAATGACATTCTTTGAAATATTTAAAACTTTTTTGCCTCAAAACAATCGACTGCTGAACGAAGAGTGATCGGGTGATTCAAAACACGTGCCTTGATTTGGAAATTCCTGGCCAAAATCTTAAATATGATTTACGTTATGATAGTGTTCCATAGACCGTATATTATTTTTAGCCTGATTCAAGAAGCTTTCATTCAACTCCTTACAGCTGTTTAGCCAAAATACATTTTATCACGTTAACATCGAACTTGTCTCTTTATCAGCACATATATCTACCCAGAAGATTTAGTCTGGAGCTAAATTATGCCTGATTAATATGAGTTGTGTGGCAAAGAAAATTCATGACGCCCAATAGTGCTCTTAAATGGAGTAAGGCAGTGTAGCCGGGCTTTTCTCCAGCTTTTCTCCGTTGCTCTCAGCAGTGCTGGAATAGCACACTGCTCCACAGCCTTGATGGGTCCTCATGGAGCTGCGCTGCTCTTGTGTGGTTTGGACAAACATTTGATATGAAATGGGAGTATGGCGCCAGAGAGGCCCATCCTGCGTGAACCTCTACGAATAAAATAATATTTTCGCAGTTCGACTTGCATTATTTCATTTTCCCTATGTGCCATTTTCCACTAATTAATGTAATTATATGGGGGAGGGGGGGGGGTAGTATAAGAGGAAACGGATCTTATATATTGCAACTGAATAATGAGCCCTAATGTGAGGAGCTGAAGTGTAGAATTTATAGATGTGGGTCTCAGCATGGTGCAAGGAGGGTGAAACGTTAGATAAAGCTGAGCAGTGTCATGGGGCCAGTCTTCATCTGAACTTCTTCACTGAGGTCCCCCTGCATTTCATTGTCCATTAAACTTTGAGGAAACTTTGATCTGGTCTCCTCATCCTCAGGCTAGGGGAGAGTGATGACCGCTAACAGATTTAAACACGGGCTTTCAGGCCCATGGATCAAAGCCCTCTCCCTCTCCTCCGCTCTCTCATTAGGGTGGAAAAAAAGCAGTCCAACCCGTCTCGATTTTTCCTCAAAAGAGCCTCGCTCAAAAGACCTGCGCCCATCAGATTTACAATAGGGAGCAGGACTATTTACCCGAAGCCAGCGCCATCCAGAAATAACAGAGCAGGAAAATAAATGGAGCCTGCCATATTTTTCCACACAAGTAAGAAAATATGTGCAGGACTTGTGCCTCGCTGTTTCGTAATTAGTTCTTAAACATTCTATGCCTTGGATCTCCGCGCCCACATTCAGCCTTCTCCAAGCAAGATAATATACAGTGGGGCATTAATGTCAAACATGTCTCCCGCTGATCCAGGGCCGTAACTCTAATCTGTTTGCACAGACGCAAGAGATCCACAGCTCCTCCAGCTCCATACGTACGAGGAGACAATCCGCAGACGAGATTTGATTAAATCATGCCCTCTGGCTTTTATTAATTGACACATTGTTGTAGGTACTTAGACTTAATATGATGAGTCTGCAGTGTTCCGTCAGTGAGCACCAAGTTCAGAGAGTTTTGGGAACACACATATCTTTATTCACTTGCATGGTGTGCTTTTAAGACAGCCACAAGAGTCAAAGAGGGTATTCATTTGCCATTTCTACTGTATTTCTGCTCAAAAATAGAGCCAGACTGGTCACTTTCCTACAGCATCTCTCAGGTAGGTTATTCATGAAGGTTAAGTGTCTTGTTAAAGGGTGCAGTGGTCAAGGCTAAATTGTTTAATAATGGTGTGGGGTGACCAGGGCTGTCACTATCCATTACATTAATCACTGAAGAGCTCATATCATAGAAGACTACATTTTCTTTGTTTTTTAATCAATGCAAGAGTGTCTGATTTAGTATGTAAATGGTGACTTAAGCTTCATAATGTACCACTCGCTCTCTAGTCCACCTGGCTCATATATGGAAACAAAGTTGTAAAAATGGCCAGTTTTGAAGTCATTAGTTTTCGTGATGTGACAAAAACCAACACATTTGCATACATCCTCCTATTCAGCCTGCAGGAGTTTAAATAGCATTATAATATATAACACTGAAGTTATAAGGAGTGTTTTAGCCTGGACTGGACCAATGCACAAATCAGGGCAGTCAATCAGAATATAATGTAAAATAATTGCGAGGTTGAGAAAACTGGCACATAAACCCACACAAATGTTATAAGTCAATATATATATATATATATATATATATATATATATATATATATATATATATACATACACACATATATATATATACATGTAATAGTATATATATATATATATATATATATATATATATATATATATATATTTTATATATATACAGTCGTATACAAATGTTTTCTGCTCACGTTAAAGTTTAAGCAAAATTACTGTTTATTTGCTGAAAAACACAAATTATGCCACATTTATATTCAATATGTTAAAAGCAAATAAATAGTTTTTTATTATTTGAGGAAATGACACAGATCCTTTTTCCTGAATGGCCAGTCAAGTCACATACAAATTACTGGATCTCTTCTAGTAAAACTAATCCAGCTCCAATAGGGCATTTGTATGTAGTTTTACAGTGAATCCTTAGGTAAAGTCTATAGAAACACTTTATAGTAGACTTTTTTTTTAAGTAGTCTAAAGTTGGTACAGAATCTTTTCTATAATGATTCTTTAACCCCTTAAAAGGTTCTTTATGCTCACAAATCTCTTCTTTAAACATGGCTTTTTAGGGACATCACTTAAAGAACTTTTTACGGCACCTTTGTTAAGAGTGCTTATGAAATGAAATTGATATGAAATTATATTATAATTAGGTTACGTATAATTATATGTATTTGTGAGATCCTGCTAGTGTGAGTTTCCTCTTTTTTAGCCTCCCATCTGGAGGATTTATGCAAAAAATATTTTTATGTGCCAAATATGTACTGATGTAGGAGTATGGAAACTTACATTTTTGGAACACCACCTTTTTTCTTTCAACTTCAGTTTTTCTTTCATCTAAAATGTTGCAAAAACCTTGCTTTTTTTCAGGAAAAGCATTTCCCACTTAAGTTTATACTTAAACTTAGTGTCGTGTGACACATTTCCCACGTGTACCTCTTACAGGAAACACAAACAGCATGGCGGAGAGGTGTAGTTGGACTGAAGAGCAGACAAGAGCACTTTTAAATGGAATGCTGCCAGTTTTTAGCTCCTACTGAGAGAGAGGCTTTTCTAAATGAAAAGTGCTTAAACTGTGGAGAAACATGATCTCCAGTAATTGTTCAGATGGAAAACAATATAATAATAATAATAATAATAATAATAATAATAATAATAAAAATAAAAATTATGCGACAACATTTTCATTTTGTTGGAATTTGGGCAGAAATTAAATTTGAACATAGCTACTGATGCACATAAAAAGTTAAGAGCTCCACCTTGTGGAGAATCTGCTAAGCATGACAATGAAATGACCTGCAGATACTCTGTTTATCATTCACATTATGCAGATTCATTGAGAATGTAAATTTTACTTTCAAGTAAAAGTCCTAGTGTTGACTGATCCATATCTTCCATATCTTCTGCTGATTGTACCAGGATTCACACTCATTTCCAGCTACTGTGTTATCAGCACCATCTGGTTTCTTGAACAGAGGTTAAAAGTGCCTCTTTTCTGTCCGCACTCTTTCCAGTGTAACACACTGCACTGGTGACTCTTGGAGGCCAAGCTTGGATTCTATTCACATGTCACATCTAAGTCAGTTACACTTGTGTATATTAATGTAACCCACAGCTATTATCTAGAATGGCACCTACCCTCCTAAACATACAGGTGCCAGAAAAGGTTTTTGGAGCGATGTCATAGAACAACCACTTTTGCTTCCCTGAATAACCTTTCATACAAACAACTATCCATTAAAAGATTCATTAAGTTACCTAAAGTTCTATGGCATCAAATAACTCTTTCTGGCATCTTTACGTTTAAAGGACAGTGTCAGTACAGTCTTAGAACACAGGTGCACAACTTACACTGGAGAACAGCAGCAACACCATGCATTCTTATGCATGGCCAGCAGATGGTGGCACTGCAAGCCCACTTTAGAGTCAGGCCTAAATCTGGCTGTCAGACCAAAAGTAACATCTACAGCAATTAAGGCCACTAATATACATCTTATTGTAGCTTTTCATTCAAGCAAATGACTACATTAATTTAGATACAGCTTATAAGAAAATATGTAATGTATCTGCCTTATCTAAAAGCTTTCAGGTCATACTTTGGTTTAAGAGCTTTTTCCTCCTCAAATTAACAACTAAAGAGAGTTTCTTCACTTCATAGATGTGTGCTTTCTACAGTAGGATCCCCTTTAGGGAACCTATGGTTCCCTAATGAACCTTTCAGTTTGATACTTCTTTAAAAACACAATTGAAAGGTGGTTTATTGAATCAAAGGAGGTTCTTCTGTGGTGTCACTCCAAAAAAACGTTTTTGACATCTTTATTTTTATCATCAATTTAATATCAATAGAACCATACACAACACATTCTCCATCAATCTAAAGAACTATTTTACCATGCAAAGACCCATTTTTTGTCAATAAAAGAAAATTTAAGCAACAGCATTTTTTGCAGACAATGTTACTGAAATAAACATTTTCATCTCTAAAAGTCAGTTTGATGGAAAGAAGCTTCTGGGCAGCAAAAATTATAATTTTTTTTTAAATGCATTTTCATTTTGTCAATTTGAGTAGAAATTAAATTGAAACATAGCTACAGATGTACATAAAAAATTGCTATAGAACCCTGTTCAATATACCACATAGAACCATATACAACACATTCCCCTCAATCTAAAAAGCTTTTTTACCATTCAAAGAACCATTTAAGCATACAAATGGTTCTTTGAGTGTTTATGGTTCTATAAAGAACCAATGCCTTTACTAAAGAATCCTTGGAGAACCATCGTTTTTAAGAGTGTAAATGGTGGAGAAGATGAAGCTGTGTTCCAATATTCTGCCATAAAGCAGGGTATCATTTTTATGAAGACAAATTGGAAGAAATAAGAATCCAGGCTGTTCGAAAGTGTAGAGAGTATCGGGTTCTTCCTCACGGTCATGGTGAAACGGCCCAGCTTCTCCTGCTCGGCAGCATGAGTGACTTGTGGTGGGATTTGATGGGGATTACTGATATGACGGGCGCACGCCTGTGGCTTAAGTGTGGAGCTGATGACCTAACCAGAGGCATGTCTGGCTTCAGAATTCTCCACTCTTGCAGAACGTGCGCATGGTGGACATCAGCGATGAGCCTGTTAAGTGGTTGGACCTGCTTCAGATCCCCAAACCTGAGCCCTTCATCTCCAACGCTGTGAGGCTCTTTGTTTGTACAGATTCCAGATCAAAGAGTTGCTATTTGGACATATTTCTCTGAGAATTATGAGGCCTACTATATCACATAGCCGCAAAAGTGATTGATTAAAAGCAGGGCCATAAAAGAGATGTTCTGTGTTGGTATTTAGCAGGGAGATCAGATGTCTAGCAGAAACAGAGTGATTATAGCCTGAGTGAAAAGATTGACGTTGGAGTTTTAATTTGATATTTCAAACAGTTGCTCTTCCTGTAGCGGCAG